GTATTTCAACCATGCAGCAAACCTTTTTAAATATTTTGATAAATTACTAAAAAATAAATAAATAAATGACTTTTTAAACCGTTTAACTGATTGTATTAATCGGTCAAAATTCTTCACGGTCGGTTAACCAGTTAAAATGAACATCCGTACACCATTTACTTCTGTACATATCAATGGGATTCATCAGTTTACCCTATTCTAAAGTGTGTTTTTTTTACTTTCATAAATTTCTACCTCTGGAAATTATCTTATGTTTGCTTGGGAACTAATACTATCCATTTATATAGCCTAAACGTTTATCATGTAACCTACACTAGTGTTCAAAAGCTTGGGGTTCTGTAAAGAAATTTGTTTTGCTCACCAAGGCTGAATTTATTTGATATAGATGTAGTAAAAACAGTAATATTGTGAAATGTTATTGCTATTTAAAATAAGTTTTCTGTTTTAATATATTGTAAAATGTAATTTATTCTTGTGATGCAAAGCTGAATTTTCAGCATCATTACTCCAGTCTTCAGTGTCACATGATCCTACAGAAATCATTCTAAAATGCTTGTTTAGGCCTACTGCTCAAGAAACATTTGTTATTATTATTCTTAATGTTAAAAACAGTTGTGGTGCTTAATATTTTTTGGAATTTTCAGAATTCTTAACTAATATGAATAGAAAATTCAGAACATCTTTTTAAAGATTTTTTTTAAAATATAAAAGTATTTACTGTCATTTTTGATCTATTTAATTCATCCTTGCTGAATAAAAGTATTAATTTCTTTAAAAATAATCTTAGTGACCCAAACGTTTGATTGGTAGTGTACGTTAAAATGTTTTTTTCATGCAATTGTGTTTAGTTGTTGTTATAACAACAATAACAATAAAAATAATATGCTTATGTATTTTTATTAAGATTTTTAATATGAACTATTAATCATTTCTGATAAATGATAAATATATAATTTATTTGTTAATATAAATTATTTATTTAGGTATTTTCTCCCAGCTAATGCCAGTTGGCTAATGGTTTGGTTAATAGCTAATGTGAGATAACGATCAGATAGTTTTCTAGGTATTGTTTTCAGCAAATTCTGATTTGGTCTGGTGCTATTTTGGTATTTAACAGCCTGTCATCCAGTCAATTCCTGATTGATCAAATTAGGGAATTTTTTTGTTTCCTCTTATTGCCTGTCCCGTTTCGCGCAAATGCATCCGATTACGGAAATAAAATCAGGTTGCAAACAGCAATTTGCAGCCACTAAGACAAATACCTTTCTATTATTTCAGTACACTGTTAAATTCGTCCCGCAATTTGTTTTGTGCATGCATATATTTCACTACCAGGTCTCCAGTTTCCTCTTAAGGCCTTTATATTGTCATCAATCAAACATTTGTGTGTTTGATTCCCACAAAATGACCTAATATGGAGGAAAACCTGATATCAAGGTGCTCCAATAATTTTCAAACGGTTTTGGTTCGGGTTTCTGTGGCGCAATTGTTGTAAAGCTGCAGGGAGGTGCAGCTATTTGGCAAGCCGAAGGAGCCAGGAGAGCAGTGGTTATGCAACCAGGCTGTTTATTGGGTTTCCCCTGTCCGAAAACCACTGGCAGTACAGAGAGAGAGACAGACGGAGAGGAAGACAGCGAGCAGAGAGTCAGCAGGGAGACTGGAACTTGACAATCCAGCTGTTGGAGTTAAAACTAGCCATGACTCAGCTCAGGGAGAGATCATGGGACAGGAAAACGACGGGAAATCGAACCTGCATCTCCCGTATGAGCTCGTAAGTTGAGCGTGTGAATGAACCACGTTGCCATAGCTTCTAGAGAAGATTTCTAATGCCTAGTGATGGGATTGAGACTAATGTAATTTAAAATAGCTTGTGTTTGTGTCTCATGGAATTTGATGAAGCCCAAACGATTGTGGCGTTTTCAATTACAAATTCACAAAATTACCTTACCTGAAAGGTGGGTTCTTATCTAGCCATTCACCATTTATAGGCCTGTGTTCATGGTTTTGAATTTAGTCTCTTTTGTTTATTTAAATAAATGGCAGTTGTCAAGGATGTCAATACTGGAATCGTACGTACGCCAAAATTAAACCTGTGCGACTGGTTATCATACCAATCCAAGCACGACTTTCCCAACTGTTGACACTGTATTGTCAAGAAGGTGATAAATTTTGAAAACTGGAACAGTTACTCGACTTGTTTTTCCCCCTGCCGGTCCAAGACCTCCCAAGTTTCCAGGGAAGTCGAATTGTTGAACTTTGGCAATAGCTTAAACATTTTTACTGGCTTGAGTCGTCAGGACCTAAGAAATGCACAGAGACGTTCCTTTATAAGATTTCTTCATTAAAGTGCTGCTGTATTCGTTTACATAACGTTGATATGGTTAACGGCACAATTAGATCCTGAAAGTATATAAGTTTGTATCCCCTCCTTTTAGAAAAGCAAAAGGCTTCTCCGTTTAAGGTTTCTACACTTTTATTTATTTCAATATAGGGTTGTTGTAAACTAAATTACTCAAAAAAAAAAAGTACTCAATTTACTGCTGTACAATATCTTTTTTTTTTTTTTTACATTTTGCCACCTGTCACAAATTACAGTGTGCTGCTTTTCAGCATAAAACTGTAAAAATGATTTGTCAAAGTTGTAAATAATACAGATAATAATAAAGATTATTAATTACAAAGTAAACATTTTCACCATAAATTTTAAGTACAGAACAATTGTACAAAAAATTTTCAAAATAAAAACAGTAAGGATTAATATGTGATAAGTTATCATATGTAGTTTTTTTTATTTTATTAAGATTTTGGCCCATTAAATGATGATACCAGTGTTGCCTAGTAATCTTAATAATAATAATCAGTGTAGTACAAATTAGTTAGTATTGAAGTTTACCTGTTCTGTGGTGTTGTCTTTTATATTTTAAAAGAATATTGATATTAAATGTGTGTACATGTAAAATATTTTAGTTTTTTTATTTTTGTAGAAAATATGTTTAAGAGTTCGTCAACACGAGGCTAATGAAGACTAATATAATAAACCAATTAAATTTAAATTTCTTATATTATTTTTATTAAATATTTGGCTCATTAAATGCTCTCTAATACAAATAAGTGTTTAGTAATCTTAGTTTTGTTTATCATATTATCATATTTAAATCCAATGTAGAATAATAATAATAATAATAATATATTTTATTATTGTAGTTTGTAGTGCTGCCTTAAATTTTTTAAATGTCATTAGTTATTGATTAAATGGTTTCGATTTAGTATTGTATAGTATAAACTGGGATATTTGTTTATATGTATTAGGGATGCACCGAAATGAAAATTCTAGGCCGAAGCCGAACAAAATGAAACACTGGGCCGAATACCGAACATGGTTTTTCACATTTTTCCCCCATGTAGGCCTATTTTACCATTTTTTTTTTTTTTCACAATTGCATTAAATTGCCAAAATGTGCTTTTTACTGTTTTGTCCTGCTTTT